GTGAGTAACTAACTAACTAACATGTGACTAACTAACTAACCAACATGTGACTACCTAACTAACTATCTAACTAACTAACTAACTAACTAACTAACTGACTAACAAACAAACAAACAAACAAACTAACTAACTAACTAACTAACTAACTAACTAACTAACTAACCTGTGACTAACTAACCAACTAACTAACTAACTAACTAACCTGTGACTAACTAACTAACTAACTAACTAACTAACTAACTATCCTGTGACTAACTAACTAACTAACCTGTGACTAACTAACTAACTAACCTGTGACTAACTAACTAACTAACTAACCTGTGACTAACTAACTAACTAACTAACTAACTAACTAACCTGTGACTAACTAACTAACTAACTAACTAAATAACTAACTAACTAACTAACTAACTAACCTGTGACTATCTAACTAACTAACTAACTAACTAACCTGTGACTAACTAACTAACTAACTAACTAACCAACTAAATAACTAACTAACTAAGTAACTAACTAACCTGTGACTAACTAACTTACTAACTAACTAACTAACTAACTAACTAACCTGTGACTAACTAACTAACTAACTAACTAACTAACTAACTAACTAACGAACTAACCTGTGACTAACTAACTAACTAACTAACCTGTGACTAACTAACTAACTAACTATCTAACTAACTAACTAACTTACTAACAAACTAACTAACTAACTAATTAACTAACTAACCTGTGACTAACTAACTTACTAACTAACTAACTAACTAACTAACTAACTAACCTGTGACTAACTAACTAACTAACTAACTAACTAACTAACTAACTAACTAACTAACTAACTAACCTGTGACTAACTAACTAACTAACTATCTAACTAACTAACTAACTTACTAACAAACTAACTAACTAACTAATTAACTAACTAACCTGTGACTAACTAACTAACTAACTAACCTGTGTCTAACTCACTAACCAACTAACTAACTAACTAACTAACTTACTAACCTGTGACTGACTAACTAACTAACTAACTAACTAACTAACTATCTGTAGTGAATTTTTGTGGAGTTCTAGTAAGAATCCGTGACTAATAGGTTCTTTCACCAGGTCGGGTGTGAGGAGAAATGCTCACCATGCATGTAATTGGCTAGTGCCAATTTTGTTAAAATCACGAATCGGTAGAAGTTAGAATTTTATGGGAGAGTGATTGAATTGTGTTCCCGTGGCTGGATGAATTGTCTACGAGGTAGCGTTGTAACTATTTCTTAATGTTTCAGGGAAAAAACTCCAAATGTATCATGACTACCAGTTGTTAAATAAACAATCAATAAATATGAGTTAAACTCTGTAGACTTTTCAAAGATCACCATCTTTATTACCACGATCATGTGTATAATTACATTTTTCGCTCTTATTATTTCATTAGATTAATAAAAACACGAATGGTGGAGGCGGGAGTGGATGGGTGGATGGATGGGTTGAATCTGGATGATAGTGTGGTGTTTAATTAACACCATAATTAATGCTGTCTAGTACTGAATAGACTATAAGAAGAAAACCAACAACTGCACATGCATAAACGAGTAATTAACTCATTGTGTACATAAATTAATTCGATTTTTGCTTTTCTTGTTTCAAAGTATACCGCTTAATGAGATTTCTTCTTGAATGATTAATTACAAATGTGGATACTGTCTCTAATGTAAATCAGCTTGAGGATCATTGATCACTAAGGAATATTTACTAGCTGTTTCGACCTAATCTTGAAGACCATGTTACTCATGCTTAGCCATCACCTTCTTGGATAATGGGCAATGTTGGCTGACAAAGGGTCGGTCAGGTTGAAAAAAAGCCAGTGGTAGTGGTGGTCAAACCAAAACCAGAATGGCTTCATCTGTCAATGAAATCCAAAACAGTTAGTTTAAGCCAGCGAGCAGCGTGGGAAGGTGTAGCTTAGCTTCATGGTTGGGGTCCTCGGGACGGCAAAAACCAATGGTGGCTGGAGACAGTTGGTGATACGGCTCAAAATCGTTGTCAATATCTGGCCAAGTTGCATCCACTCCTTGTGTCTTATAATACCCAATAAAACTATATTGTTCTTCGTTATTACTATTCTTTTAACCTCACATTTCTGTTTACTATATCTATTTGCGTTCTCTTTTACTTTCTTCTTTTGCTTTTTGTGGTACATGGAGGGAGTGTGGGGCGACTGGAACTGCTGCACTTCGTGGCAAAGTTCTATTTTGAAACCCGTCAGTCAGTCAGTCAGTCATCCACGACCTCTAACGTGAAGTGAAGTCAGGAATTTTATTGACAACATACAGTCATTTGGTAGGGGAGTGGAGGGAATTCAACGATCTCTGAGTTCTAACTTACGAAACCAATCACATTTATCTATCTATCTATCGATGAGTACCCACTTCACACTGACATGATGTACTCCACACTATCTACCAATTCTCATAACAGATTTAGGATATCTATTCAGGAATCATCACTAAGATGGTTTGAAGTTAATCCTAACTCCCCCACTAAAAACTCATAATCCAAATTACTGATTCAATTGGCTGGTTGAATTATATTTCTTCAATGTTTAAAAGAACGATTATCTAAGAAAATCTCATTGTTGTCTACTAGGAAAGGTGTCCTGCACTACTCAAACACACATACAGACACACACTAACAGTGAAATATTGATAAACAGAACTCTGAACTAAACACCTACACTTATCGTCAACCCCCCGAGCTAATTGTGTATATACGTCAAAGTTGTATAGGAAGTCATTTAGGAAGTGAACAGATTTACGATACAGTTTCTCCATTTAATTTGATCGATACTGGCTAACAATGCCGTCCAGGATTAGTTTTTGTTGGTTGGAAACAGTTGCACTGCACCCTAAATGAATGACTCTGTTTCTACTGAAACTCATATTCAACACCCATTGCTTAGAATTTCGAAGGCGTTACTCACCAAGCCACGGAAACCATATCTTTTAATAACAGGTAAAACGTGTTATGCGTTCCAGTAACTTTGAATTTTTTGATGTTTGTATTTTTGATAGAAACGCTTAGCCTCCGTTGACATTTTGTATTAAGATTTGCTGATATAACATCTCGATAAGCAGTGGCACGGATGAAAGTTAAGTTGAACTGATTGTTATTATTGTTCCATTGGGTACCAAGTAGAGAGCATAGGGCTTCAACAACACACCTCCACCTTGTACTATTTTCTGCCATCCTTTTCAGCTCGGTCCAATATTGACGAAACTGTTGATGATGTCTGTAGTTTGATCAAAGTGCCCTTCATGACGCGGTGAGGTGATAAGCCTCTGATCCGTACAGTAGCACTGACTTCATATTGGAGTTGAAAATCCGGATCTTATTCTCATTTACATGCTGAGTGCTGTTGATATCCACACAGACTTGACAGTAATGAAAGCTTCACTTGCTTTCCCGATATGCCTCGCTTTGGTATGCTCATCAATTCCGTCCGCCTGTCGTTGAAACGATGCTTCATAGGTTGGGTAGGAAGGTAGGTAAAGGATGCTGCTATTTTTAGACTCCTTCCATTCATGCTGGCTGACTGTTGTCTTTTGTTGTTGCTGCTGTCACTGTTGGCTAGGAATCTTCATCACCTCTGTTCTCCCTATGTTCATCTGAAGTCCTATTGTGGTGAGAGCTGGTTGTTAGCCAAAATTGGTGGACAGTAATTTATATCAGTGTTTATGTCCCCAATATTGATCGTGAGGATCATGAGAGCAAAGGCTTTGCGTAGGCGGATACAATTAGCAGATAGATGATCTGACATTCAAGAAACAGCCACAAATAGATGCAAGGTAGGTTAACTTTCTGGGAGAAACAACCAATCAGAAGACTGTGTTTTTCTGTTAACAATAATCTCTAATAATGTACATGAAAATCTATAAATATGTATTGATTTCTTTAATAAATGATCCGTTGCCTGGCCCTTATCTTCTGTTGTTACACTATCTTTAATGCTTGTTCTGCTAACTTGTTGCTTTTCACTTGCATATCATCAAGTTTGTAGGAAATCACACATATACTATTGGCGAAAACATTAGACTTATTAAGTGCCAAAAAGGTTTAGAATAAAGGAATTCAGATATTCCTGTAAATGAGGTGAGACAGTAACTCACTGAAGAAGACATTGTGAAGTGGTCAAACTGTATCATGAATTCACAGAGTTTAGGATCCATGCACTAGCTATTGGATCGGGAGCTAGTATCTTAGTGGTCTACAAACTCGCTGTCCTTGTAACCAGAAAATCCTAGGTTCGAACCCGGATGGTGGCTGCCTACTGGTGGAGAGACCGAAACCAGGCTGACGAAACAGCTGTCCAGTACTCCCTGGCTGGTTTTCCAGTGGTTCTCTAGATGATTTCCGCCTATGATGAAATCCTCCGACCAATCAAACAAAATCCCTACAAAATATACCATTACTTGAAAGTTATTTATTCAATTCAAAATTCAAATTTCAATTTTTTAAAAAAAGGGAGAAAGAAATAGCGGATAAACAGAAAATCAAATAGTTAAGAGAAATAGCTAATTAAATCATACCATATTATGTATATATGAATAGAGTAAGATTATTACAGTCTTATCATGCAAAAAAAGAGCAGTCTCATTTTGATTACAATAGGCTGATTCATCTTTTAGTATAAAAGAGATCAGGAAACAATCGGAAAAGCAGGAAAAACAGAGAAAAAAGGAGAAAAGCATCTGATTTCAAATAAATGCATATTTACTAGACAATCCCCCACTCACAAATGATTGATTTTTAAGATCGTTTCATACAATTTAAAAATATTTTTGAGATAAAGTGTAACTACTGAAATATTTTGTAAGTAGCTTCAATTTATAAGCAAAATACTTGGAGTAAGGCTAGATGTTAGTGTTAACATTTTAATATTCCAAAGATCTTTTAATTCTCATTCAAATGCTCAAGGTTTCAAAGTTGACAGAAAACTATGGTGATGATTATTATTCTGAATTTTGTTGCTGTTGTTGGGCAGATCTCATTCCAGTTAACAAACGATCTGATAAAGCGAAATATCCTGATTTACGTCGATAAACTAAAATTGGTTTATGCTTGATAAGATCTTGATTTTTACCAGTGACCTCGGTATGTATTGAATTTTCAATCGATTGATTCACTGGTTGGTGTTTTTGTGTCTGTGTTTGTTGACTATTTGATCCACACATTATCCACCAGGCAGGACGTGATTTACTTGACTTACGAATACGTTGTAGTGTTGTATGCTGTGAACGTGATTCACCACATGAACTACTAGTGGTGGTTGATTCAGAACGTGAACTGATGGAGGCATGACTTTTGAATGGATAAGATTCAGGATCTTTGATTGAATTCAGTGTGCCTGTTTGTGAACGTGATGGCGCTGTGATTGTTGGTGTTGTTGCTGCTATTGTCGTTTGGTTTGCACTGGTGGTGTTTGAAAGCGTGTGTACTGAATGCAGGATATCTGAAGTTGTATTAGTGAATTCAGCCATGTGTAATTCATCTTCCAGTTGGATTTCTTAAAACAAAAGAAATGGGAAAAATCGATAGGAAATGGAAGAAATCAGTTTATGTGATTATGGCGATTTCAGAGTCACAAAATCTCATCAAGCTTATTTCTTTTCTATCCTTTACGTACCCAGTGGGACCTAGGGCTTCAAGCCAGAGGCTTCTTACTGCTGGCTTATCGAGGTAAAGGAATGTTTCGGCTGGGGATCGAACCCCGGACCACCTTCGTGATCAGTGAGCACTCCACCACTGTGCCACCGACACACAACAAGCCACACTGGCTACAACTATTGTTCCTACAGATCCTACCATGCCAGAAAGGTTGTTAGGATAACGATTAGACTAAAAGCAGTTACCGGTATAGTGTAAGAATTTTTTCACACTATGCTTAGGGGTCTGTACTACTAGGGAATAGGAATGTAACAGCCACAGTAAAGTGTTTCCTTCAGATGACCAGCATGTCAGCCAGCTATACTGTTTCTCTACTCTGGAGAGGCGGGAAGTTAGAAAATGTCAACACTAACAATTGTATATCCCGACTAACGTCACTTACGGTGGTACGTAATCAAAGGTAAATTTACTAATACGGAACTAATCCAAGAAACCAGGCCGTGTGTAACCAGCTGGCCTCAAGCAGTTACTCCTTGGGCTCTGCGGTCACGCAACACTAACCGTCTTTCTGTTTTAGACACCCGAAGAATCACGTAAATACTTCACACTTGTGGGCAAGTGATGAAGAGTTCCAGACTAGGACGAAACAGCTATCCATTACTCCTTGGTCGTTGCTAGTGGTTTTCTAACCTTGATCAAACCTCTAATAACTGTCCAGTACCACAAAACTCCATTCCTATTGTTGTGTGTAAGCTCAAAGTTGGTTGTATTCCAAGTAGACCAGTGGGACAGTGATAACACTGAGTAATTATGTATTCCCATAGGAGTTTAAATCAACCAAGTGGAAATACTAATTACCTGTTCCATTAATGTAAGCAAATAATCCAAAATCTTTGGAATCAAATATTCTCATTTGAAATGCGATCAGATTGTCTAAATGAAGACGGAGTGGAAGAAAGAAAGAAAGAGAATGAGAACAAAACGTGAAATCAATACAATAAGAACAACAATAACTAATAATATGAGGAGGAATGCGGAAAAGCAAATATTTGATACAAAAAAAACAAACGAATACAGAAAATTTCATGGTGGTATATGCATACTACTGAATAAATGAATTAAGTAGTTGGATTTCACTCGTACTAAATAGTAGGGCTTATTTGCCAGTCAGATCGAAAGGGATTTAAACATTTCGACAGTGGTTTTGTTCGTTTGAAGCAGAGCTCATAAGCTCTGTTTCAGGTTAGACTCAGCCAAAAAACAGGCAAATCATTTCAAGCCAGTGGATTTCTGGCTAGCTGAACAGTGGCGCGAACCCGTAATTCACTATTCTGAATTTACAAGTGAAAAGCAACCAGTTGGCAGAAGAAGCACACAGTGATGATAGGACTTCAGATGAACATAGACAAGAACAGGAGTGGTGAAGATTCCTGGCCAACAACACCAGACAACAATCAACCAACATAAATGGGAGAAACCTGAAAGAAACAACCTCCTTTACCTACCGACCTACCTGGGAAGCATCGTTTCGACTACAGGCGGCGGAACTAATAAGGATATCAAAGCACAGAGGATCGAGAAAGCAAGGCAAGCTTTCATTACTCTCAAGTATGTGTGGAGGTCAACAGCATTCAGCATGAAAATGATAATAAGATCCAGATTTTCAACTCCGATGTTAAGTCATTGCTACTGTACGGACCAGAGACTTGTCACCTCACCGCGTCATGAAAAGCACGTCAAACCAAAAACAGACCTTCATCAACATCTGTCTTCGCTCAATACTCAAGATCAGATGACCGACCAGAAAAGATCAGCAATAGTGAGGGATCTCTGGGTGCAAACCAACCAGGAACTGATTTCGCAACAAACAGGCAGGAAGAAATGGAGATGGATTGGCTGGCCATACTCTGAGGAAACCATCAAGTGACATCACTAGACAAGCCATTGGTCGAGTGGAACCCGAAAGGGAAGCGGTGAGTGGGTCGTCAGTGTGAGAGTGACATGGAGGAGGAGGTTATGTGAAGAGGAGATGAAAGCATGTGGGCAGACTTGGGAAACGTTAGCGGAGAAGAGAAAGCAATGGAGGTGCGCAGCTGAAGCCCTATGTTCCTCTAGGAATTAAAGGAATTAATAATAATAATAATTTACACAGTTCATGGTACGATTCCCGCATAGTTTCCTTTGGAAACTGAGATTAATTAGAACGAAATGTATGTGATCTCTTTGATACCACGATAAGTGGTAATAAAGGAAGCAAGAATAAATGCATGATGTCATATACTACTGACAGATTCAAATGAGTAGCTGCATACCTTGTCACATTAACCACCCTGTTCCTTCCAACCAGTCATACTGTAGTGGCCTAAACACTGGGCAACTGTTTCGACCTCTGACTGGTGAGCGAGGTAGCCGGGCTAACTTACCACACAAGGCTGGTGGTCTACTTGAATCACAAGTCTACCTGAATTTCTATTCAACAGAACACATAGAAGACATTCATCTATTCGATATTGGTTAAATCCATTCAATTAGGACATCTTTGTGTTGGAACATCTATCCAGACACGTCTGCATTTTAGCTTTCAACCTCTTCAAACAGATGAAATAAAACGTATCCCAAGGTATTGGTAAATCTTGCATCATGTCATATGACTGCCGTCTATTTTCTTACTAGAGGATCCTTTATGAAGAGTGAGAATTCCATACTGTTTGGTGCAGTTTCATTTGGAATGAAGCTGTCTTGATTACATCACTGTCGACCGAAGAAATCTGAAGGAAATGATAGCTTTCACTTATCTAGGCAGCAGCCTTTCAACGACGGGAATTAAAGATGAGGATATCAAACACAGGACAGGAGACCTTCATTCACTTTATAAGATTCGGATCTTAAACACTGGTATCAAGGTAATGCTTCCATCCACATGGTTCCAACGTACTGTAGACGTCCATCAACCAAACAGATATCTTAGCTGTATATTTTGAGAATAGATGACCAACCAGAAAGGATTGGATGTTTGCTGAGAAGATCACTTAGTGATATCAGGTACCAGGTGAGTCATCGTGTGCAATCCGAATGTGAATCGATGAGTTAGACCTGCCTGCGAGGATGATATGAGGAGGGTCGTGTGAGGCGGAAATGAAAGCTTGTGCACAATCTTTTAGTCAACTGATGACCCACTCTTCGGTCCTCATTGGAATTCCACTGGAGGGCTTGGTGCCTGGAACATAATGGAGTAACAACAATAACTATCATAATTCAGTTCATATTAATATATGTGTAAGACTTGGGCACTGTAGTAGTATGGAATTCCATATTATTTTGTCTATTAGATGGTTATGTCACACAGTGAAACAGTATTATTATCTACTGGATGACGTTTCGAACTCAATTTATCGTGGTTCATAATCATATCAGTTATAATGACACAACATTGAGACTTGACTTTTATAGTTTTCTTTGTCCTCTCCTATTTGTCGTCGTAGGGATAGTAGGATTTTCCAGATATCTGGCTGGATAGGTGTTGAATCACTCCCATTACACGTATTCTGTCTCAGTTGATTCGATAAACAAGGCTTCTGTTGACATCAGTCTTTCTTCCTCCACCCTGTTATATTAGATTTTAGGGATAAGATGACAGTTTTAAAATCTAATGTCACAGGGTGGACAAAGAAAGATTGATAACGGAAGCCTTGTTTATCCAATCAACTAGGAGTGAATACATGTAATAGGAATGATTCAACACCTGTCCAGCTAGATATCTGGAAAGTTCTACTTTAGATATGATAGAGAAGATCTGTAGCTCAGGTGGATGATTTTGATGTGGTTTTGTTCTCTGAGCTGGATGGTTAATTTGCGAAGCTTTCATCACCCTATAGGGTGACATCTTCAGCGCCCATACTTCAATTTGTCTATCTCGAGATAGACAAAATTTATCAACCAATAAGAACAAAACTTCACACACAAAGGGTCAAAGTTCAAATCAAAGAAACAATCAGTTACAATACAAGTAACCTAGAAGATGTGAAAACACACATAAACAACCAATCACGTCCAAGGTCACCCACCAGGAGGATGATTAATAAACTCGTGAAGGAGAAATCTAAAAGCTCACTTCAGTAAATTGAAGTATGGGCGCTGAAGATGTCACCCAGTAGGGTGATGAAAGCTTCGCAAATCAACCATCCAGCTCAGAGAACAAAACCACATTAAAAAGTTCTACTTTCCCCTACGACGGCAAATAGGAGAGGACAAAGAAAACTATGAAACTCAAGTTTCGAAGTCGTGTGATTATAATTCATGATATGATTAAGAACAGTAATAAATTTTGTTCGAAACCTTGTCATCCAGTAGATAATAATACTGTTTCACTGTGTGATATATCTAATAAACAAACTCATTTGGGATGACTTAGTTCAATTCTTAAGAATACTGAAAAAGTTGAAAAAAGTACAAGAGAGCTAACAGGAGTGGAGCACAAAAAATATTTTTTTTTTTAACCAACTTACTTAATTCTCTAGCTGTCATATTTGGTCGAATTGGATAACTTAACACTTGTAGACGACTTGTCTCTTCATTCATTACAAATACTTGTAAACAATTCCCTTGGCTGGCATTCACACAAGGCACTTGTCCAAGTGAATAAGGCACAGAAGTTGACCATGTATTATTAGTTGGATGTGTTACCATTGGCGATTGTGCAATCCATGGACGCCATCTTGACGATGAAGTTGATGCTGAGGTCAACAGCAATGAGGTACACGGGGGATAAGAATGATCATCATTCAATGTTAGATGAGATATTGATTGTGGTTTTGTAAGATGTGATAATTGGTTAGATCCATTGGTTATCTTTGGTTCAATTGTCAGTGTTTTATTATTATTATGGAATACTGTCGGTGAGGGTGTTTTTATCAAGTCATTTAAATTCCCCGCATTATTCATTGTTTTTGTTAGATTAACACCGGTAATAGTTTTCCTTCGACGTGGTGGTATAATAATTCGATGTCTTGTAAATTCTTTAGTTGATTGAAATAGACCAGGAGTTGTATTCCCATCTCCAGATGGTTGGTGTTTACCATTGCTTTGATGATGATTTGGGGAGAATTTCGAGAAACCGGAGTATTTAGAACCAATGGCATCATGCAGTGGGTCATCCTGAGTCTAAAATATTAACAGTACGTTCATTAAGTGTTACCAGAGAATGTTTATTGAATTGTTAGGTATGAAATTTACACAAAAAAATCTTGAAAGAATTTTCAAGTATTGGTTTTGTAGGGATTTTGTTTGACTAGTTGGAGGATTTCGTCATGAACTGAGATCAATTAGAGAACTATTGAAAAACCCACAGGGAGTATTGGACGGCTGTTTCATCCTTGTTTTGGCTCTCTTCAGTAGTACGTACCCACCGGGAGGGGTTCGAACCTAGGATCTTCTGATTACAAAGCGAGCTCGTAGACTATCATCAGTTCTTTTGGGCTAAATGTATACTACTTATTACTAGTTAGTAGTGTAAGTTTATATATAGAATACTTAAATCATATCTGCTTTAAATGCTCTATTTATATTCCACTTGGTGCATTTAAGTACATTTACAGATTTAACTGCTCCTGTGGAGAAAGCAGGCTGTATTGGGTGGAACGACTAGACAGTTCAACAGTCACATCATTACTAAACATCTTCCCTTATGGTTAAAGGAGAGCGAAGTGAAATATCGAGAAGAAGTTCTATTTTGTCACAATTGATTGACAGCGGTCACCAAGTGGACAGGAATAGTGCCTTCAAAGTTATGTGTTGCATTTTATCGAACCATTCTAAAGGAATTTGAACCCGCCTTCTTCATATGGCTGAAGCTATGAGAATTAATTTGAGAGAACAATCCTAGTGTCTTTGCATACAACAAAAGAAGTTTGTTCTACCTTTGTCTCTCCCTTGCTTGCCTAGGTGAATTCTAATCGAAACCCTCCCACTCCCACTCTTTCTTAATCTAAATTTCCTTAGTATTTTTATGATGATATTATTTAAACTCTGATTATCTGTCCACTTCACATACCTTTAATATTATGTAACTTTTTAGATTTGACCTAATTTATTTATTTATTGAATTGTCTACATATACACATATCACATTAGAAGTCATTTGGTGGATGGTGATTAGCCGTAGAATCCAAGATGCGCGTTTCATCCACCTCAGTACTCGTCAACCAGATGTACCTGCATTCCGTTGTGAGTGAGTAATGATGATATTCCCACCGAGGCTCGAATCCAATGCCCATAGTTTCAACACCCAGTGCAGAATGCAGGTACATTCACTGGCTGATGAGTTTCAAATAGGACCAAAATGCCCATCTTGGCTGGATTCCACTGCTAGTCACTGTCCCACCAATTCACTTCTAATTACATGCCTAGACATCATCGAAGCATCTGCTCAAGAAGCTGACATGTCAACCTGAGACCGAGCACTTCAGTCCAACTAATTGACAGGAAATTTACCACAGTTTCATTAGTGTTTGATCCACAAACTCACCGTCATTGGTTAAATTGCTCTCTATATATAAATCTATGTAAATTAGAGTAAAGCCTGAAGAGGATCTAATAAAAAACAATAATATTGTTCGCTTATATGTCTTGTTCCAATATTATAAATAATGGGAATATTTAAAGATTCCACTTTGTGTTGAACTTAATTTATTCTAATCCCTTTATTCCTTGTCTAGGCGTTTACACGCTTTTTAATCTGATTGTAGATCGCGCTTTACACAGTGACAGTCCAACTGATGGCATTCAATCACAGACAAACCTCACAGTTTGAGGTTTGTATAGTATACCTATTATTCTACATATAATATAGTGTCGTATTTTACACAAATCCTGTCTTTTGGGATTTATACACAACTCATTATTATTGTATTATTGTTTCCTTTAGGTTCTAGAGGAACATACAGCTTCAGCCTCACGTCTCCATTGCGTTCGCTTCTCTGCCGACCTTCTCACCTGGCTCCATGTCTGCCCACATGCTTTCGGATTGTGAGGGCGATTGTTACTTCCCGGCTGCCCACACCGTGGAAGTTGGTTGCTTGACCGCAGAGCCCAGGGGACAACTGCTTGAGGCCGGTCACACGCGGACTGTTTTTGTTCGTTCTTTTTGTTTGGTGTGCCTCAGTAGCATACTTATCACTCCTGCCCTGTGACACGGCAGCAGGAAGCGCGGTCGTTGTTAATCCGGGCCACGGCCGATCCGGCATGAAATTTTGTGATTTTGTATTGATCATGATGTTGGATTGGGTAGCTGCTTTTTGTTTAACCGCTATCCAAACAACCTGCCTGGCATGGTAGGACCTCAAGAGACATAAGTCTTAGCCAGTATGGCTTGAATAGATCATTGCGGTTTTCAAGACCGACCACCACGTCAAGGTAGCAGCTTTCGGTCCACATGCTTTCACCTCCTCTTCACATCACTTCCTCCTCCCCTCATTTACGATCAACTCGCCGCTTCCCATTCGAGTTCCACACGAGTAATGGCCTGTCGTGTGATGTCACTCACTTGATGGTTTCTTTTCTCAGAGTATGGCCAGCCAATTCACCTCAATTTCTTCCTGCATATTTCTTGCACAATTGGTTCCTGCTGTGTTGGTTCGTTCATTGCCAGTGATCCCCTACCTAATGCTGATTTTTTCTGGCAGGCCATCTGATCTTGAGTAGTATTAAGTGAAGAGAGCTGTTGATGAAGGTTGAGTTGTGTGTATGCACAACTCAAACGTTTGATTAATTTATCGATTGTAGTTATCGTTCCGGACTACCTAAAAGAAATCTACTGTGGACGTACATATATATATATATATATATATATATATATATATATATGCCCTGAGTTGGTAGAAGTTAGAATTCGATGGGCCAATCGATTCCATCCGTTTGTTAACCTTGTAACTTGAAGGCCATGGATACTAACCCCCCATTGGAATGATTCATGCGTACTCCTAAAGAAGAGAATACGAAGTTCAGCAAAGATATCTGCCTTTTCGGCGATTTCATTTTCAAAATTAGCTATACAATCTCATTGAAATACATAATTTTACATGGATACAATACTTGTTTGATTCCACATAATTACGACGGGGAATTTCTTTTTCCTTCACGTTCCCCGGAGGAACATAGGGCACCTTCAAGCCAGAGGCTTGAAGCTTCTGTGGCAGTGTTTAACTTTACAGGATGGGGTTGCAAGCCTCATGCCTAACCTTCTCTCTTTACCAGCTTTATTACTGGCTTAGAGAGGTAAAGTGGTGCACCGGCCGGGATCGAACCCGGGACCATGTGCGCGGTCAGCGAGCCTCCTAACCGCTATGCCACCGACCACGGCAAGTAGGAGGTGATAATTATTTTCAACTAGATATGTATTTTACGAGAGGCTTAGAAACAAAATTACACAGGATTAGAACGGATAACAAATGTGTAAAAATTAGCATTGAAACAAAATAATGATTTTCAACTTGAAATGTAATTTAGGAGGTGTGAATATAGAATACAAGAGCCTTAGAAACACAAAAATTGTACAGGATTAAGATATAACTGTAAAATAGTCAATTTTTAAACGAATTATAAATTTGAACAGGAACAGCATGGAAACAAACTTAAAATAACTGTTTTTATAACTGAAAACAGAAATGGGTCTGAATCGAATGAAGACTGATGGAGTAAGAATCACACACACACACACACAGCGAACGAAAAACGATCAAAGGGGAAAAAGAGAACGAAAGAAGAACAGACAAACGGAAGCTAAGGGAACATACCGAACTAGGTCCCCCATGGTAGTTGTAGAGGTTGGACTACTAATTTCTTTTGAACACACACAGCTCCAGCTTTTCGATGCATATTGCGAGGGCTTCTGCAGGGCTTTCTAAGCCTCTCGTAAAAACCATATCTAGTGGAAAATAATTATCACCGCCTTTTATTCTCCGTCGTAATTGTGTGGAATCAAAGAAGAATTGTATCCATGTAAAATTTAAGTATTTAAATTTTGAAAATGAAATAGCCGAAAAGACAGAGATATCTTTGATGAACCTCATGTTCTCTTCTTTTTGTAATACTCCAGAAGAGGCACAAACTAGGACGAAACAATTGTCAATTAATCACTCTTTTCAGTTTTTGCGATATTCTCTCACTAAAGCCAGTTTACAATCTAACTTGTAATTGTTGCTTAATATCCGATATGCACATCCATCTCGCGGTTACAACTTCTCATTTCAAACTTTAGTGAAAAAAACAAAAGTTTAAATCATTCATCAAAACTTACGCAACATTGTGATTCTTGTTTATGCAATAGAAGTGGTGAAATATACTTTGAAGGTTTTCTCAAATATTCTCTATTCCCCAATGGAGTAGATTCATTCCACGAAGTATTCAATAGATTATCATTCCATATCCAATAAAGTGTACCGAATAAATCATTTAGTCCGGTAGCTTGATCATTCATTTGTGGATTATTAAATACTCCATCAAGATAGTCAGCTTGTAGGGCAGATGGACAAATAAAAGATTGATTTAGATTATGCTGATGCTGATGGTGATGTTGATCTAAAGGCGTTGTTGTTGTTGAAGCGGTTCCATGTGTATTTGGTTCACTGGCATTTGAAATTAATGGGTTGAGTAGTAGGCCGGATCGAGCGAATACCCAAGCATAGTAAGCATATAGATCTAAGTAGATAATTCATTGAGAAAAATCAATAAAAAATTAATCAATTAATTAACTGATTAGTGAAGAGGTTTTCTGTACACAGAGTTAAGGGTTGTATTGACCAATTGCCAGCGCCTTCATGATCCCTCGTTTATATGGTCTGCCGAAAGTGCAAAAAGAGAACGTGCCACTACGTTCAATCTTGGACATGACTAATTCTCCATATCATGCTACTGCCAAATGGCTCACAGAAATCCTCCTTCTACCTATCAGAAATAACCTCTGGAAGCATAGTGTTTCTGATTCGTTTGAATTCGTCGATTCAGCAAGTGATCCTAATGTATCCAGGAAGAATATGATATCTATGGATGTTACTTCGCTTTTCACCAACGTTCCCCTCACTGAAACTATCTACTTTATATGCAAATTCATTGAGGATAATAATGTAGACGTATGTGTTCCGATCCACTACCTAAAGGAACTACTACTGAGGTGCACTCTAAATGTCCAGTTCAAGTTCAACAACACGATTTATAGACAATGAGATGGAGTAGCAATGGGGTCACCATTGGGTCCTTTACTTGCAAACTGATTCTTTGCAAGAGTAGAGAATAGTATTTTACGGGCTACTAACGAAAGTTTCCATCTGTACCAAAGATACATGGATGATACTTTCATCATATGTGATGACAATACCGACATCGAATTGATAACTAACGAGTTCAACAGCTGCCACCATGCAATCAAGTTCACGTCGGAATCAGAGATTAACTCGGAATTCCATTTCTTGGATGTTTTTCTAAAGAGGAGATCTGATGATTCTCTTCAAAGATCGATCTACAGGAAACCAACATGGAACGGTCAGTACACAAATTTCCATAGCTCGATCCCTTTGAGAAGAAACAGAAATCTGATTCACTCCTTGTCCTCAAGAATAAGGAGGATATGTTCAAGTGATACAATCGATGGGGAACTGGGGCGACTCACACAAGTCCTCATAGAGAATGGATATCCTCCAAAATTTATCGAGAAAAACATGAAGTTAAGGGAAAAGCCTGAAAGACTCCAGACGGTGCCAAAGAAACTGATGTTTATGAGTGCTGAATTTAAAGGTGATACCGCAGCTGAGATCCTGAAGAATCGCTTATGCAGATCACTGAGTAAAGCCTTCTTTATGGCTGTGCTACGTATCAATTTCTACAGCCGACAAATGATCAACGGATGTGTGAAGGATAAGCTACCGCTTTGGGCCACCTCATTGTGTGTTTATAAATTCACCTGTTCTCGTGAAGCTAGTTATATTGGCCGCACAAAGGGAACACTTTCCAAACGAATCTCTGAACATTATCCGGTATGGTTAGCAAAGGGACAATTCTCGAGCATTTGGTGAACTCAGGACACGTAGCTCCACCAGAGTCATCTTTTAACATCATCTACAAAGTGAAGCCAAATGGTACAAAGGGCATCAGGTTTCGGTTTTTGTGTATGACGTAGGCGCTAGCAATTCATCAATACAACCCTGAACTCTGTATACCGAAAAAGTTTGTCCAGTCTCTTATTCTACCTTGGTCTAAACCTCTTCACTAATCTTTCGTTCCTTGTAAAAAGAATTTTGATTTTTTCTTTTGCTTTTTAATTTTACTTTTAGTTTGCTTTTGTATATTCTCACACCATCATCACACTTGCTAAACTGACACTCAAATACCTTTATTCTAACTGATAATGATAATAGACAAGATTTGTAGCTCAGGTGGATGATTTGCAATGAATAGTGTTCTCTGAGCTGGTTAGTTTAGTTGCGGAGCTTTCATCGTCCCCCTTCTAGACAACATCTTCAGCGCAGTATTTAGCATAAAGTGAAATGAATTAAATTTCTTCATGAGTGGTGATAGAATCGCACCTCCCGGTAACCATCTTTACATCTGTGTTGATCATTTTCTATTGACTTAGGTGTTAAACTATCTCATCACATGATCTACTTTTTGTTCGTTGGTATATTTGGTCTACATTAACGTGTTTGTTAATTGCATACTCGTTTGAGTACCAGGCTTCTCGGAATTCCCTGACTGCACTTTTGGTGTTTCTTCTGTCCAAGATTTCGACATTATCCCAATCGTCAAACTGATGTCCATAATTGTCTATATGCATTGATATGAAACAGGAATATATATATATATATATATATATATATATATATATATATATATATATATATATGTATATATATCGTGTCTTTTCACGGCTGATTTGTGTTCTTGCATTCTGAATCGAAGGGGATGCCCACTTTCACCGATGTATTGCCTGTTACAGTTCATACAATTTATTCTGTAAATGGTATCAATTTTATCTCCTTTTTCTGTTGGATCTTTCGGCTTGCATAATATCAAATTAAGTGATTTGACTGACTGGCTTGTGTGCTATATCTATATCAGACGGATTCAGTATTCTAGCTGTTATTCCAGAGATATTTCTCATGTATGGGAGGGTGAATTTTCTTGTGTAATGACAATGATATAATACTCGGATGATCTGATAATATGAGATGGTTTGAGGCGATCGGCCACAGGAAGCCTTGCTTCAGCTAAGGAGTTTCGTGCTAGTAGGCACTCACCAGCCGCCAGTCAGCAAGGCGTGTATCTGAAACTTTGAAGGAAGAACAATTCATGTCCCTTCAAACATCTTATATCATCAAACCAAGGCGCACCGTGATAGCGAGCTACCTATAATGGTAACCACAATGCAAATCTAACTGACAGAGTTCAATCTGCACTGAAAGAAGAACTCGAGACACATTACACTAGTTGCTGACTAGTTTTCGATCACTCGGATGATCTGTCTAATGTCATATAAACTCAAAGAACTATATATATATGCGAAGACTAACAGAGAAAGGCAGGATTTCAGTTGAACATGCGGAAGACAAAAGTGTCGAAGATACCTGACCATCAGGCAGGATAAGGATCAGTTAATTTCTTCGGTTGATAGACTGCGTTATACATCAGACTATACTTGGAAATGAGAAGACAGGAATCCGTTAAACCGACTGATAAGAAAGGTCTCTAAGATCTGGATTTCGCGCGTGGTTGATTTACGTCAAACGCCAAACAAACTGGAGGAATTGCAAGCAGGCGAAAATCAACAAATTGGCTGAAGAAGCAAACAAGGCGGCAAAGACAGGCCTCCAGGTGAACATAGACAGGACGGAGGTGATGAAGACAACCAACCAACCAACCAACTAGTCAACTAACAGCAATGGCAGCAGCAATAACCCGGCACTAATCAATATCAACGAGAGAGATTTGATGGAAGTTATTCCTTTCACTTATCTACCACCTTCATTAACCTGAAACCAGTTTGGAAATTTTTTTTTGATGTGGTTGTGTTCTCTGAGCTGGAGAGTTAATCTGCGAAGCTTCAGCGCCCATACTTCAATTTGAATTGAAGTCAGCTTTCGGATTTCTCCAAGAGTTTTATTAATCGTCTCTCCTGGTGGGTGAACTTGAATGTCGTGACTGGTTGTTTTTGTGTGTTTTCACACCTTCTAGGTTACTTGTATTAGAATTGATTGTTTCATTGACTTGAACTTTGACCCTTTGTGGGTGTGTGTGAGGTTTCTTTATTATCAATTGATAAATTTTGTCTATCTCAATGTGTCTATTGATTGATGATTCACTGGAATACCAAGCCAGGCTTCTAAAAATTCTTTAGCATTCTTGTTGTTTCCTCTGTCTAATATTTGAACGCTGGTTGTCCCAGTCGAATTGATGTCCGTGGTTATCTGTATGCAGTGAGGCGATATGAGAGCGGGAGTTGACGTCATGTCCTTTGACGGCTAGCTTATGTTGGTGGATACGAAGACGAAGGGGACGTCCACTTTGGCCAATTTCGATAGTGTTTTTCGCAGTTGTTACAATTTATTTTGTAGATGATGTTGATTTTATCTTCGTTCGTTGTTGAGCATTTTGGTTGACATAGAATTGAGTGAAGTGACTTTGTTGGTTTGTGTACGATGTCAACTCCCAGAGGTTTGAAGAGTCTTGTAGTGATTTCTGAGACATCCTTTAATATATGGTAAGGCGATTTTCTTTGTGCTTTCCTTGGGGCCTTTTGGTTTTACAGGTTTGCTTGCGAGTATATGTTTTTTGATGAAATTCCGTGGATATCCATCGATTCTTTTGGAAGACGTCCACGAGATACTTTTCTTCAATTTTCCTTAATATGGGAGTGCTTCAATGAGTCCTGGCTGGCCCTCTTGAATAGTGTTTGTATGCAATTCCTTTTGTGTGATATTAGATTGTTGCTGTTGTAATTAAGGATTTGGTCTGTGTGAGTTGATTTTCTATCAATTTGAGTTTCTAATTCCCCTGTGGTTGGTTGTTCGCTTGACTAATCGAAATATCCACTACAGTCCTACAGTAGGTCAGTTGCTAGCCCGAATAGCTCAGTCGTAACGTCTCTGACTGCAGCAGTGACTGGGCGACACGGTTTCGAATTTAAGAAGGGTGATGAGTTCCTTCAAGGTTGCAGATGATACGCCTTGCTGACTGACCGGTAAGTGTCAACTAGCACAAAAACTAAGTCTAAGATTTCCAGTCGATTACCTACAACCATCTAATATCATGAAGTGGGATTTTGTTCTCGACTTTTACCAAGACCCAATCGGTCAATAAATATTTAGGAGAAAAAATGGAGATGGATCAGGTATACACCACTGAGGAGGTCGTCAGATAACAATGCTTTCAAAGAAGATCATCACTAGAGTGGACTCGGAATGAGAAGCGACTAGTGGGTCATCGGTACGAAAGTGAAATCGAGGAGATCGTGTGAGTTAGTGGAGGAGAAGATAAGATATTATGGGCATTCGTGTATCTAGCCAGCTGAAGAGGTCGGCAGTAAACAGAACAGAGAGGAGATATCTTGTTGAACCCCTCCTTATTTTCCACTCCGAACCCAAAGGAACAATAATAATAATAATAATGCATAGTTTTACTTACCTTCTGTATTTAATGAGTTGGCATCAACTTCTTGATCGGATTTTACGTTGTGTATCTAATTTTGTTTCAAATTGTGGGAAAAACAGGTCAAAATGATATAAGCAGAGGTCAGACAAATAAGGTTATACAAATAAAATTTACAGAACACCACAGAAGTATTACATAACCTTAATTCTGTGCATTCTTAACTATAACTATATTTTAAAGAGGCTGAAACCTGTTCAAATCTGTTGTAAGCCCATTTGGTCATCATTTGATTAGATAAACTTTAATGCACGCCTCTTTGATCTTATACACCCAGCTAGCGCATTAAGTCAGTATCCGCTCATAGTCGACGAGATCGTAGTTCGGGTCATAAAAATGTTCTATTACTTACATTAATCGGTCTAAATTTCCCCTTGAGCATTATTTCACTGTCATACAACCATATTCAACTGATGAGGCCAAAATATTTCAAAACATACTTTCTTATCACCAAAAAATATGTCATTTATTAACCTCCCCTGCACACTACCACATGAGAAGGAACATATCGAAAACATGACCTTGAATAAAGACTGACTGATGCTAATGTATCAGTAAAAAACTGAAATCCACCAATCAGAGAACGCTAGGTGACCTTCAGGAGTGTATTCATCCTATTGGTAGCCTATGATGCAATAATGCTTGTAACAATAAGCCAATTCAAACAAGGTGACTTACATTTTTACGTATAGAATTAAATATACAAACGAGATAATTCATTTTACGATTAACCGAATAGGTGTTCTCCAAACGTGAATATGCACTGGTAACATATTGTAGCAAGGATTCTTTCGGCGGAGCAACAGACGCCTAGTTTTATGCATTATTATAGAAAAAAGGAAAGAGAGATCAAATAATTTGAAAAAAGATTGAAGTTCTTTCTGTAGAATATTGACAATATATCAATAATATTTGAACATACCTCAATAATATAATAAAGAATTACTTTTTGGATTTCCCAATTAATGAATGAAAAACAAAACGATATTGTTGTTGTTTTTACTGACGTTTCGTTATTTAATGCTGCGGTTAATAGCTTTATCAATGTGGTGATATTAAACCAGAATTTACAAGACCTCAGCTTATATTGCATAAAAACTTAATCATCGTTCATCAGCATGCTATAATTTTTATGTTGTTGTAAACTTGGGCAATCGGTAAAGATAACAAAACCAGGTGTAGATAACTGTTGGATTTGATAAGTGTGTATAATTATATGAGCAGTGTGTGTGTTTACATAATCATTGCTTATCATATTCATGTTGATTTCGTCATTTCTTGGGGGACGGAGGGGGAGGGGTGTTGTAACTAGGTGAAATTCTGTATTAGTTCATCATTCCTATTCAGACACTATGGATTCCATTTGTTGATATGAAGTACTTCCGATGATATGAAACGTTCTTTGTGATTTCTGAAATGCTTTTTCTAGATGATTTCATATAAGTTCGTTTATTAAATGTATCACACAGTGAAGAAACAGAATTATTTCCTGGATGACAAGGTTTCGAACAAAATTTATTGTTCCCAATCATGTCATCCATTGCAATCACACGACTATGAAACTTGAGTTTTATAGTTTACTTTGTCTTCTGCTATTTGTCATCATTGGGGTAGTAGAATTTTCCAGATATCCAAATGGACAGGTGTTAAATCATTCTTATTAAACGTACTCTCAATTAAGTTGATTCGATAAACAAAGCTTCCGTTGACATCAATCTCTCCCTATCCCCTGTGACATTAGATTTTAAAGCTGTTGTCCTATCCCTTCCACCCTATTGTATGGTTGTGTGTGCGTAATTGCATGTAGTGAGTGGTATAGCTGAACTATTCTCTAGATTTCTTATCTTATTCGGGTCAACTAATCTAGATTTCACTGCTAGGCTTTTATGATCGGCTTGTCTGACTGCCCCTGTTCTACTACGTTAACCTATGTATTTGACCTGACAATCATTCCAGTAGGCAGGGTATTAGATAAACTAAATTGTTTTGTTTTAAAGGCTCCATAGGATCCACCATTTAACCGACAAAGCTTGTTTCTAATTAAGTTTGTTGGGGGAGGGGGATTGAATCCCAGCCACTTTTATTACTGCCTGTCTTGTTAAGATTTCTGCGTAAGGTGGTTTCCGAGGTTCCTTCCTTGTATGGAATTACAACTGATGATTTAGATTCCTCATTGTTGGTGCTGTCTTGCGCATATTTGACATGCATGTCGTCATTAATATTATTATTATGATGATGATTTCTATTATTACCACTACTACTACTATCATTATTTATTTTAATTTCTTACATATATATTTTCTTGATGATGATTTCAATATTCTCGAAATCAATTTTGTGGCCTGATGCTATAGCGTAGTATGTAGGTCACCTATCTCTAATGATTTTTCAAGATTTCCTAGTTCACTAACTGGATTTCTCGGTGGTCGAAGACAGTCGGGTCTACGGTGTTCATTTCTGCTAATTTTGTTTTCTCCCTGGTGATGTTGTCGAATGTATATCGCATCACATTCAAAGCAAGCATTTTATTTTATAGACACAATTAGATAGATAATCTTTAGGGATTCGGTCTTCTTTATATAGACAAGGTTGCTTTGCATTGTGCGTGTCTGATGTTTTGAAGAAAGTTCTGATGTCGAACTGATTGATTACACTTCTGATATCGACTGACATCTCTGTTCCATATGGAATGATGATGACTGTTGAGTTCCATGTTTTTGGAATCCATTTTCGACCATACTTAATGTCAGTGTTGATTTTTTGTTGATGAAGTTCTTTGGGTAGGTTATTTCTGCTTGAGAGTCTCAGTAATGTTTGATATTTCTTCTTCCACTTTTTCTTTCTCATCTGTTATCATCAAAGAGTGTCCTCGTCTAAGAAGAAGACTTGAAACAAGTGATACTTTTGCGCTGATTGGGGTGTGATGATCGGAAGTCTAAATATTTGTTGCTGGAGTGGTTTTTATTCTTGAATATACCGTTTTTCCCTGCTTCTCCTTTTAACTAGGCAGTCTAGAAGTGGTAGTTCACCGAGGTCTGATTCCGCTTCCGAAGTGACTGGATTCTGAGAGATAGACTGTTTATTTTCTCCAAGAATGAACTGTGTAGTTCCCATTGACTTAGAAAAGCTTGGAAAAAAATCAACCATAGGTGACCTTCAAGCTATAGAATCAGGTCACAAAATTGACAATTTTGACAATATTGAAATCATCATCCAGAAGAAGCATTTCAGAAATCACAAAGAATGTCTAATATCATCAGAAGCACTTCATATCATCAAGTGGAGGTAGATTGTTCAGTTTCTCCAAGAGTGAACTGTGTAGATCTTGTTCGTTTTTTAGCACTACAAAAGTATCATCTACATATCTTAACCATACTTTAGGAGTGAGTATGCTTGAAAAGATGTTATCTTCGAATCTATTCATGAAAAGATATCAGCGACAATTGAGGAAACTGGTGAGCCCATAATAATACTTTGATAAAGCTATTAGCGTTAAATAGTGAAACGTCAGTAAAAGTAGCAGCAATATCGTTTTGTTTTGCATTCATTCATTGGGAAATACAAAAAAGGAAACCTTTATTATAATGCATGTCATATACCCAATGCCGAAATTTTTTTCAAACTGTTAAAAGTGAACTTGGTTTGAACATCTATAAATCTCAACATTAATATGATCCTATATGGCTTAGATACTCGACTGCTCACTAAATTCCTTTCTAACAAGGTCGTTGTACACTTTTATTAACACAGCTGCCTGAATTCTATACTGAAGACCATATGGTCAGAAAAGAGTAACAACAGAGAAAAATCAACCAAAAACTTGAAAATAGATTTGACACACACACATTCTGAGAAGATCTTTTAGCGACATCGTGAACGAGACCCTCAAATTGCAGGCGGGAAGTGGAACGACCATTTGGGCGTCATTGGGTGACATGGAAGAGGTTGTGTGAGCCCGAGATGAGAGCTAATAAGCAACACTATGAAGCCGAAGCAAAGGAGGAGTGGAGGAGTTAAATTATCATAGGCAAAGTCAAGATTCTTCACAAGTTGACCTTCGAGGAATGACCAAACGCAGGGAATGCTATGAAATGTCACTCCAAGTCAAATCATGCCTTTTTGGACTTGGAGGGGATAGATACAGTATTCCACTTATTTAGTACATACTTCCTCTGCAAATCTATACTGCTAGGTAGTGTTATGACATTTAAGACTTAGGCACAGAATCTAGGGTTAAGATTAGATTTAGGGTTTAAGTTAGGATTAGGAGTTAGGATTATGACAATAATGTCAGAAATACCAAAGACCAACAGTCACTTGGATGAATGGGTATGTCGTGCATGGTACCACTTCTTTCTTGATCATCTGTGTATTAACTTAGAGACACATTCCTACAACACATAAGCTACAACTATACAGTGTTATGTCATGTTATCAAGCCATAAACGAAAATTAACATAAAAATAAGTAGTTCTTTATAGCCAGGATTTACACCATTCTGAATAAACCATTTCTTAACCCTTATCCCCAGTCTTGTCTACAAGGCATTATTCATTCAAAAAATCAAGATTGTCCTAATCAGCAGTGTTAATGAGTAACGAGTAAAGACGAAATGCAAAATCCTGGCCTCAGTAGGACTCGAACATGCAGCCTTCAAACTTCCTTTCAAAGCCCTATTAGGAACTAACTCTGTGACAAATAAGGCAATTTTATATTTTTAGTATCCGCGAAAAAAGTTTTACATAAAGATATACTACTGAAATAATGTCAGTAGTTGAATATGTTACAGGAAAGTTTTTTCTGAACATCCTTAAGAGAGCCATAGAAAATTAATATCAGGGTAAAATTATATCATTATTGTCCCGCTCATTTTCATGTTGTCTGCATTTATTCTATGAGGAATCAATAACACATACCTTGTGGACTGTGGAGAAGCAAGTGTTTGCTTACTATTTCACTTATTTATGTAGGAGTGTGGTGAGAGCTGGTTGCTAGCCAGAGTTGGTAGAGTTGCTACCCGCATGCCCAACCTTCCGTCTTTGCCAGTTTTATTTTATTAGGTATGACACGATAAACTTACTGCGGCACTCTAACAAATAGTCCCATTAGTTTTTGTTTTTTCCTTTCCTCGTTACTACTACACTGTTGTTCTCATTTACTACCACACATCAACTTTATATTTCAAATCCTGTGTTGCATTGTTTGAAATGAAATACTCTACGTTGTTTTTTCTTAATTTCTAATATTTATTTATTTTATTTATTCATAACTTATTTATTTTATTTTTATTTATTTATCTTTGATTTTTAAAAATCTTATATAATTTATGAGGTAATTAGATGCAATATACTGTAATGCACGCTGAAAATTCCATACCTGTACCACAAATACTGTTTGGAATAAAGCTATTATTATTATTATTATTATTATTATTATTACTGGCTTAGTGAGGTGAAATATGTGTTTGCTGCGGAGGTTCGAACCTCGAGCCACGTGCATGGTCGGCGAGCATCCTAACCTCTCTGCCGCAAACACACTTACATGCAAGTGTATGTATATAATGCAGTCAGATTGTTTCTCGAAAATCTGGGGTAGGGGTGTGGTGAGAGCTGGCTGTTAGTCAAAATTGCTGGACAGTAATTTACGTCAATGTTTTTTGTCCCCAATGTTAGTAGTGGGCAACATGAGAGCAAAGGCTTTGCGTAGGTGGATATAGTTAACAAATAGATTACCAGACATTCAAGAAACAGCCACAAAGAGATGCAAGGTTAACTTCCAGTGAGAAACAACCAATCAGAAGACTGTCTTTT